CGTATGTGGGGTTTTTATGAGTACGCCTCCATTAGAAACTTGCTAAGTATAATTTTACGTAAATAATTATCATCGTATAACTATAATACTTAAATACATATTTGTTATAACAACAGGCAACTATATTACATCCGGTTAAACGATACATTCGGGCTGCAATTGGATATTAGCATTCTAATCTCTGGGGTGCTTTTGACCAAATCCCTCCGGATGCTTATGGTCTGCGTTTAACGACCCTGGGGCGCTTATGACCTACTCCTAGTTTCGTAATAAGTACATAATGGGATCATTGTCACGTGGCTATTTTAAAAACTGTGTTATCACAATGTTGTATATAAAACACATCGAAACTCATTCGTACGCTGTATAAATTACAATTTCTAATTTCTATTGATATTGTGCTGAGATTTGGTGCGACAAATCATAATATAATGTTTAAGTGCCATGATGTACGTAGTGTGAGCAATCCACATATCTGATAGTATTATATAAGTAATTTAAAACGCAAGTTTCACAGAAAAAAAAAAAAAAATAAAATTTTAACCAACTGTTTTAAAGTGCTAACTTCCTGATATAACCGCAAGAAATGATAAGATTGTTTGAAGTGTAGCATACTAATATAGTCTGCTTATTCTAATATTCCATTCATTTTTATTGTTATGTGTTAATATTAGGTTCACATATGTATAAGTGCAAATTTTTTGTATTAGTTTATTATTAATATGAGTACACTTTAATAATTCACTAAGTTAAATTAAAAATAAATACTTCATGATTAATTTTATTTTAGATCATAATATTATTATATATTTATTATACCTACGTTATAATATAATTATTATTAATTTATTAGTTTACTTACAGGTTGTTTCTGCAACAAATGTCACCATTAAAGTAGGTATAGGAGTGGTGCAGTAAGAAATTATACACATTTTGTTCAGCGCAAAAATTAATTTAAAATTTTTGTTGTTAAAATATGGAATATTAATCTCTGCAAAGTCTACATGCAAATTTATACGATGTGAAATTTATTTTTATTTAGTATATAATATGTATATAGCTGGGTATCTCAATGTATTCATCCTCAAATCCATATACCCATCAATTTATTTTAAATTTGCCTGTATATTATGTCCACGTTTAATCAAATTACAAAATATTTAATTATTTTAATCAAAATATTTGTTTAAACTGTCTACAATTTTTTTTTTTTTTTTAGCACAAAAACAAGTATGATATGATTTACATAAAATATTTTATTTAAATTCAACGAACGAATAAAATACTACAAGTTTAGCGGTAGGTATCTTTAATGCTCTAATACGGTAAATTATATCTAGATTTATAATATTAACTAAAATAAAGTCATAAACAGCAGGAAACAAGATCAAATACCCTGTGGTTCGTGTTGGTGATGATCAAACGCCGTACAATATAAACATTACTCCTATTAAATTCAGTAATTAATGTCAACAATTATTAAGTTTGTAAGTGTAGATTTGATGATACGATACGACTATTTACCATAGTATATTTGTCTATAACTATAATATGTCTGTATATATAATACATATACACACAGGGGCGTAGCCAGCATTTTTTAAAGGAGGGTATTTTAATTTAATATTTAAATACAACTCGGAGAAAGTTCAAATATCGATTATGGATACGGCTATATTAATAAATTATAAAACAATTTTAGATTTTGAATATTTCTTTTAACTAAATGTATTATTATATAGTTTTTAAATATTAACAAAAATATTAAAATATAATAATATTTATATTAGCTTATTGTAGTGACCCTTTCTTGCCAAATTTAAATATTTAAATATTAATCTTATTTATAATCGTGTCAACGGATCACAACATTGGGTGGGCTATTCCATCTTTTAAATTTTTTTTAAACAGATAGTATTATACAACATAATATATAAATATAAAGTTAAATTTCGTTAAGATTTAAAATACATATTTTATACCAGGGGTGGGCACTGGCGGCGCGAGAGACTTTTTTATTTGGTTTGTGGTACAATTTAAAATTATATCATACAATTTTAAAGTTAAAAATTCACATTATAAACAAAATAAATGCTAATTAAAATGCATATTTTGAATGATTTTTTTTTGCTTTCTATGCTCTAGAGATTTTTAATTTTCTAAGAATTGGCCTTCTAGTAATTTTGAGTTACCCATCCCTGTTATTTACCAATCCAGATTTCGAATATACCTAATTATTAAAAACTCTTGTAGTTTTTTAGTTAAAATATTCCTGGATTACAGAAATAAGCGATAACACAATCCATTTCGATATACCGTAATTGTAGTTTGTAATGTATTATAAACGAATCAAAACATATTTTTACTATTAACCCCTGACCATATTATATACAATCATCGGCATCACAATGCTAATGAAACATGGTCTACGTATACACATATAGTTTTAGGTACTAATATGCTGCAGATATTCTGATACATTTGGAACTATTATTTATCATTAAAAATTTAAACCGTACCTAAAATCATAACTCAGTAATTACATTTTAACTGTACGTGTATATTGAATGTTTTTTTCAACAGTAAACACTCATATTTTTTCAAAAAAATTTTTTTAATGATCGCTCTTATGATTGCTGTCAGAAAAATCACGGCTTTAATTTTTAAATGTAATTATTATTGTTATTTATTTCACAATTTGAAAACAAAGGTGTTTATATTCATTATACGAAAAATTTGACGTATATGTATTAAATATTAAACGTTTATTTTTTTTTATTTATGAACATTTATAAACCCATGTTTATGTATTACGAATCGAATATTATGAATTTTATTGAGTATCTCTTGTTATTTCACTTATTTTGTATTTATTTAAATTCATATGGATAAAAACTACAAGGCGTAAGGCTAAATCCTAATAAAATACCTTGAAATATTTTTGTGTAAACGAAGATGTTTAAGGTAAACAAATTTCTTTAGTTAGATTACTGTAGGAGAATAATACGAGTAAAAGACATTTTGCTTTAATATATTGATTAATTCTGAAGATATATAAAATATAAATCAAGATTAAGAATTAGATATAAAAAATAATAATAATCGCATTACACTCTGATGAATTATCTTATATTTCATAAGACATTAAAGGAAATAAATTAATTGATTAAACATTTTGAATTAAGGACTAGTACTAGAGAATACAGGTTATAAAGTTGGTACAGACTAAAAATGTAAGGTAATATTAATAGAATTACAAGATTGAAACAATAATTAAAAAGCTTATTAAATTCGATTTAATAAATATAATTTATTAATTATATTATGTAAGTATTCATTTTTCAATAAACGAGATTTCATTCTAGATGTATTTTTAACTGAAATAGAGTTATGCTGATATATTAATTGTCTTAGTAATCAATTATAATTTCAAAAATATATTTAACTTTATCATGAAGTTAAATAAATTAAAAAAAGAATTATTCCATTTTTGTGAAATTAAACTCTTAAACTCTAAAAATTTAGATTTTCAAATTTCAATAATATTAAACTACTAATTTAATTTATGTTATGTTAAATTACTTATCTTATATTATACACATTTACACGCACTAATGGCCACTTAGTACTATACTTAATACTTATTATGTATACATTTATAAGTCTGACATTCAGGTAATGAGAAAACTGTTTATATCAAACTCTTTAAAGCCGCTCAATATCGAATTTTTTTTTAGCTATAATACATCTATACAATATTATTTTCTAAAATTGTCGATTATTGTGTTTTCAATACATTGTCATTAAATTTTTGTTATTGTTTTTCATTTGAGAGAAATAAATGATTCTTAATTTAAATTACCTATGTGATTATATAGGTAATGTTTTATTTATTGTTAATTTGAAGTTATTAAAACTAAGATCTGTTTTTACTGCAATATAATTGTTCTTTTTAATTAATAATACAAGTATTAAGTATTTTAAATTATTTGTCTCTTGCAACACATTTTTACTATGCATTTATCATAGTAATTACATTTTACGCTTATAATGGTTATTCGTCAAGTAGAAAAAACTAAAATTAAAATCATAACTGATTTTTATTGTATTCAAATAATTGTAATTAAAGCTTAAAAAATTCTGATAAGTATATAAAAAATAGTAATTAGGTATGTAAGTTTTTTTAATAGAAAAAATATTGAAGGCAATACAAAAATCAATATTTTAATATTTTTAAATTTCATAAATTAAAAAAAAAAAACACCGCATTAATAATTTGATCTTAGATGTTATTGGTCTTATGATAGAATTCTATAAAAAAATAAATATATTGAAAACATGAAAATTATTACTTTTGAATATACGTATATATATAAAAATGCAATAAATTATGAACAAATATTATATAATATAAATTAACTAAATTATTATAATATGATTTCTATGTTGTTATAATTAAAAATTAGTTGATATATCATATATTTATTATATATGTATATATATATAGGTTTAAAATTACGGCTCATCTTTTCATCAACAACAGCAACTAATGATACTTTAAAAATAATACATTTATAAACATGTTACATGAACATATATATTTTATAAAAATAAAAGAATAGGAAACAGTTATAATTGTTAGAAGGGCCTTACATAAATTCTGTATAAATCTTAAAAAAAGTTGTAAATAAATGTAAGCTTTTTTTTTTAAGACAAGAATTTTCAGTAATCTCTAAAAATAACTTTAGCTTTTATACAATAAAAACATTAGAATACTAAGTATAAGCTTGATCTTATAGCTAAAAATGTAAAAACAAAAAATATAATTATACAAAATATTATAATATATTATAAACATTGACGCTGTTTATCAATTAAAAAGAAATTTAATTCCTACATAATTAAATAGTGTATTAAATAGTACACGTGCTGAATGTTAAGAAAATTGTTTTCAAATAAAATTCTATTAAGACATAAAGCTTTATAATTATTGGGGATAGTAGAAATTAAATATAAATGCATTAACGTTAAGTATTAATCACAAAAAAAAAAAAAAATATTACACATAGGTATAAATGTACGAACAATTTTTTAGTGGTCAAAGTAAGTGGAAGTGATTAGATAATAGTATAATGCTTGCGGTATTTATCACATTTTTCATTTTATTATGTACAAGTAAGCAACATAGTTATTTGTTATCTAGGTACTTAATTAATTTTTGAATATTTTATCCACTGATAAAACATATTTTATAAGCACATATAATGTGATATACTGATATAACCATAGTTAGAGTTATTTAGAAAAATTATAATTTGTCTGGACTTATTGAAAAATATTTTTTAAAACTATTTATTATCTAGATTTAGTTAATATTAGGGTCAATTGTTTTATTTATCTCAAAGTTTCTTTTTGGGATATTAAAAAACGCCGTCAGAATCATAGGTATATAACAGTATAGTACTTACATTTCTAAACAATAGGAAATTTTTATTAAATTTCAAAGCATGTCATAATTTTTTGATGTTTTTTTTTAGAAGATAAAATCGGCACTAAAAAACAAGTATCACGTATTGGCTATTGTCTTTATTATAGTAATATTAATATTGTCACCTCATCCATTAGTGAATTTCGCTGTTTGAAGTGTCACTGCACTTCGATTTTCAGAGAACACTTCAAGTATAATAATAATTAGTGTTAGGTATTATAGATAGAGATGAGCTTAATTTATATTTTCATTAACTCAGTAAACTCGAAATTGAACTTAGTTTTTTTCTTGAACTGCAATTCAAAATCGAATCATCTCTTACTCAAACTTCTCTCGAACTTTTTTAACGTTTAAGATTTTCAAACTTTAAATTTAATTCATAAATACATTTCAATTTTAAATGAATTATATACTCTATTTTAACTATTAAAAACTTTTAATATTAAGTATTAACGTTGTTGGTACACAATTTAACGCAGGTATATAAAAATAAAATATTATGATATTTATAGTATTATAGTATCAATATCAAACTTGACTTTTCGCGAAGTGTTCGAAACGATTATTGTGTTTGATTTCAAATATTCATTCTAAACAAACTTTGAACAGTAATTGTTCGAAGGTTCTCTAGGTTCGGGTTGTCCGAGAGTTCGATTGGTCCGAGAACCCATCGCCAATTAGAGGTGCGTTCTGCGGGGCATCACGGGACGTTCTTGGACGTCACCCCCCACCAATCCGGGCCTAGGGGTCGAACAATTTTTTGGTGTACTCATAGACGAGGAACAGCACAGCGGACGACGGAACACACCGGATGAGCGTTGGCGCTAGGCCGCTATACAGTGCGACCACGCCCTCGTTCCGGTACATGTGCAACATGCACACGGTCCAGCCGCGTGTGGGCATTGCGTCGTCCAGCTGTATCCGAGACTTGACCACGTCTACCGGAAATGTCACTGTCCACAAAAGCACGCCACCCGCGGCCCCAGCCGCTGTGGTGGCTAGCAGGCCGCAATCGGCGCGGGTTCGGCCGGCCGGTTTAAGAGCCTCCCGTACTGCTTCGTACACGCCAAAAAAGCAGAAGTAGCTGGGCATTTCCCGGGCCACGGTCATCTCTAATCCACGAAACAGACCTCCAAGACCACGGTGTCTCATGATGTCCTGCAGCATACAAACAAACAAATACGGAAAATCATTTAACTACAACCGCATAATATTATTTTATCAAAATTATAAATTATAGCGCTTCTCTTGGTACGTCCAGATCTATATGCCGTAAAGACCGTTAAAATATATAAAACATGATTTAAAAAACGATTGAACTTGTCCTGTAAAATACCTTTTAAACGCGCAATAACGCTCTTTAAAAAATAATTCACATTATTTTGATCGATTCACAAACTAGAGGAAAATGATGGTTTAACTTTTGGCATTTTTATTACTCATTTATTTTAACTAAATAACAATACAAATTAAAATATCAAACTTAGACCTGCAAAATAAATGGACAACTGTTAACCAATTAGTTGTTACTTGTTTGAGTTAGACCAGTAATCATTGTAGGTAGACAAAGATGTTATCACATTCATTAAAGGAACGATTGACGTATTTTAGTATGGATAAAAATATACCTAAAATCTATTATATCAAATATTATAAAAACAATTTTGCCTTATAAAAAAATTTAAATTTCCTAATTAATTTTATAAATAGGTACAGGTACGCACGACGCACTCAGGATTTTTGTTTGAAGAGGAAGGCTTACATATTTTCTCACTTTTGTTTTACACACGAGTAAACAATTATCGTTACTTTTTAAAAATCATTTTTTTTTTTTTTTTGAAAATAAAACACTTTCATTTTTTATTATATTATATTTATTATAGAATCATGTAATAACACGTAATGTCATATGAAAAATATTGTTTTGGGGGCTTCAGCCGAAAGCATTCACTCTTCCTCGGATATACCATTCGGTTCGTACCATATGTACCAAAAGTTAATAAAATATCCAGAAAATTTTAAAAAATACATAATTAAAGTATCATTTTTGAATTATTTGTTGTACGAAACGAATTAGGATCTATATACTTATTTGAAATGCGTAGTCTTAAAGCATCTAACAATTTTTTGGCACATTTGAATGTTTAATATAATTTAATCAGGAAAAAAATTAAATTTATCAAATACGTTATGTTCTAATTATTTAAATTATGAAAACAACTCATCTAGGAACATTTTTTACCTAGTTTAACTTTTGTAGTAGCTGTATAAATTAACTTTGGAGAACTAAAAGCACTTTTGATTATAAATGACTAACTTACATAATATGTTTACATACTTCTAAATGTTAATAATTTTTTTTTATTAAAATAACCTTGTATAGTTTAATTTTAGTAGGAGCACGCATATTAAACTCAAATAAAATGAAAAAAAATTCCTTAATTTGACTATATGTTTTAGTTTTTGAAGAAACTTTATATACAAATACATAATTTAATTAATTTTAGTAAAAAACCAACATATTTTAATAAAAGTAGCTCAAAATATTTTTAGTTTAACTACCTACATTCTTGGTTAAATGTATCAAGTAGATATTCTGAGCCATTAATGTTCTATAAATCTAAATAAGGATTTATAGGTATAAAAGTCCGATATGATTCAAACACAATTTATTATTATTCTTTATATTATGCGAAAATAAAACTTCCTACTTACTTATTTACTTAAAATGAAATTATTTTATTGCAAAGCATAAAAAGTACAATAATTATAACTATAAAGTAAGTTAAAGATATATTTTACATTTAAGATTTCGTTAAATAATTTAAATGCGTGAACATAGATAATGGTGCATTTTACAGGGGAGGGGGGGAGCTATGAATTTACAGTATTCATAAAAAACAGATTTTCGTAGGTTTTTTTAGGTTTTTGAATAGTCAGTTTTTAAATTTTGATGATTTTTTTAGTATTATTCTTTTAACATAGGTAGTAGTTATTAGAAGTTTTTTGTCTTTATTTTATTGTTTAGATATATTCAGTAGTTAATTTAATACTATCTTGATTCGGGATATTTAATGATTATTAGTATTAATGTTAGAGAAAATACTGTAAAATATTAAAATATGTGAATTGTAAATGATAGATTGTCACAACAGGGCTTAGTCATGTTTTAAGTATTTCGTTTATTAAATATTAAGTTAAAGGTTCAACCAAAAAATCTGTTTACAGCATATAGCATTTTTTGATTACGCTTTTAACCAAGAAGAAAACGAGAAGAAAATTAAAAAATGATTTGACCCTAAATTAAATAGAAAAGAAGAAATTACAATAAATTGTATACAAGTATCGGTCACGTAATATTGATGCGTGGTTACTATTAATAGCTTAAAAAGGACATCTATCTAGGTATGTGTAGAACGTGTAAACTTAACTTCGCAATTACATAATATATTATATATATTATTATCTGTACAGAATTTTGAAATAATGAAGACGTTTAAGAGGAATGCTGCAGTGTCCATGGAATTTTCAGACTTTTATATTAGGGTTCAAATTATGAAAATAACCTTACCATACTTAAGTTCTTAATAAAAGCTGAAATTTAAAATATCTAATAATCTAAGAAATTAAACAGAAAACAGAAAAAAAAATGTAATAAGACACTGCAGGCTTAGTATATATATAAAAAAATATATATATACTTTACAGTTATTCGGATTTTTAAATACAGACTTTATCGAAAATTAATGACCTATGTGGCTATATAGATGGAGTATTTTCTCTTTAATTTCTCCACGCTTAGATATAGTATTAATATGTTAATAACGGCAAGCACGCAAAAAACTCCCCCTTAATTTGTTTACGGTCAATAAAATTCACTGGAATGGTCAAATTAGCTATAGAAGCTACCCTCGGGGCTCGAATTATATCCGCTGGGATTCGATAATTTCAAATTATGAACGCTGAACCAAGGACTTAAAGTTTTAACCCTTCGGAAAAGAAACAAAGAGTAGAGAAAGAGAGATAGAGATAGAGAGCATTCTTAAAAAGCGTGATTAATATTATATATTGTGTTGATTTAAGTAGGCTATATAAATAAATACACCAAAAAAGAAAAAAACACACACACACACACTGAAAAATTATTTTTAAAGCAAGAATTAAATGATCATTCGGTTATAATATGTGTCGTAAACATTATCTGAGATTAAAAATCTTGAATGCTATTACTAACAGCCAATGATGATAATTAAGTTCTCATGGTGAATTATGTTCTTATTTCCAAGTTATTTTAATATTTAATTAATAACGCTTTGATAATAAGTACACGGTTTCATTCATCAATATTATTACTATTATTGAAACATGGTTTGTATCTATTTTTTGACACGCTCCATTTTAGATATCCAAAATTTATGAATTTATTTACATGCAATTAATTAACTTTAAATGATATTTTTAAAAATATGCAACTTAATTACCTAGATGTGATCTAAAGAAGAGTGTTAAACAGAAAAATATAAATTGATTCATAAAAAATATTTAAGCTAATCATATTGTGTGGTTTACACAATAATCATAATATATTTAAAAACTGTAAGCCAAATATTCGTTTAATAAGATATTTTTAGAAAATTTTAACAAAAAAAAAAAAAAAAATATAGTCTTATCTTATATGATATCTAATATATTTCCTTATAAATATTAATAATAATAAATATATCAAATATAAAATTATTTTTGAAATTAATTAGACTTATTTTCAAACTAAACTGAAATATTAATAAAATTCTTATACAGTTATACTTAATATTGTAGGTTCACTAAGCGTGAAAATATATATTTATAAAATTTGATTTTTTTTAATTTAAATAATATGCTTCTATTTATCTATGCGTAATTTCAATTGCGTATTGGTGCATACCATATGCACGTATACAATATTTAATACTCATTAGTTTTATGAATAATTTTATTAAAGATATTTTTTATTTTGTACAAAATGTTTAATTTAAATTTTTGCATGCAAACAAAAAAAACAAAATTCATTATATAATTATATAACGCTGTTAGGTATTAAATATAGTTGAATTGTACTTATATGTATTCAAGAAAATTTGTAGGAATTTTTAATCACAAATCTTTTATGTGATCACTTAATATTTGAAAATCGCTTTAGGAATCCACGCTCTACTAGGAAAAGTTTTTTGAATGTAATTATTGTCATTAGTTTCAAACTTATATTAAAAACACAACACAACTGTCTTGAAGCGTCCTTAAAATTCAAACACTCAGTATTGTTGACTGTCCATTTTTTGCTTTTTTCACTATCATTTTTTCATTCTAAACAATGTACTTTTTAATATAAATTCATCACATTGTTTTCTATCATAATAATAATAATATTCAAGTGAATCAAATAGAGGAATGATATTTTAAAATGATTCATTATTATTATGTACTTTTTAGAAATTAAGTATAAAATACATTTATTGTTTTATACATACCTCCTAGTAAATGCTATAATCACACACAAATTAGTTTTGGAAATCGTTTGACTAAAAATAAATATTCGTACGCATTATCAATGTCCTTTAATATGATATTGTTAATTTCGTTTTATATTATAATATTTTATTATTAATGATAATATAAAAGATTTTAAAAGTTTAAAGTTTAAAAATTATGTAATATTAATCTTACAAACAAGATCGTTTAAAATTAATACATTTAAAAAATATTTAAAATATTTATTTAAATATATTTTATAGTATTGTTTTTAAAAACTAGTCCATAAGGTTTTTTGCAAAGGAGTTACATTGATTTTTTAATTAGTTTGTTAGACTACTTTCGTTAACATTATGTTGACATTTTAAATATTGAAAAAATCGTGTTTACACAGAACTTTTTAGAGTTTTAATCAAAAAGTTAAAGTATAAGGTAATATATGTAGGTGTTGCATCCAACTCACGTAAAAATTTGTTTGAACGCGTATGTTTAAATCACTGTAATATATTATATTTTCATATAATAATGATGAATTTGATGTAAATTGATATTTAATACTAAAATTTAATGTACATTCGTATACATTTCAACGATTCAAAAGTAATATGATTAAATACAAATAACTGATAGCTGCACAATTACACTATCAG